AAATTTTGGTCCAAGGCCAAGTCAACAAGTCAAAGTCCAGTATGAATTCACAGCAGGTCAACTTGTGTGAAGAGTCCGAGTCCGAGTTGAGTCGGAGAATAATAATATTAATTTAACGCAGTCACAAATTTGACTTGACTCCGAGTGGCAGGCCAATAATAATATTAATTTAACACAGTCACAAATTTGACTTGACTCCGAGTGGCAGCCTTGGACTCAAATCCCCCTCAGAAAAGTCTCTTAGAGTTTTAGTCCACATAGTCAGTGCTCGAGTCCAAGTCCAAGTCCGAGTCAAGGGCACTTACACTGCAGCAGGGCATTGGGTATAACATGTCTGTGACTGTCAGTGAGTAACCTAAAAATGTTATTATTATTATTATTGTTTTTGTTGTTGTTGTTGTTGATGATGATGATGATGTTGTTGTTGTTGTTGTTGTTGATGATGATGATGATGTTGTTGTTGTTGTTGTTGTTGATGATGATATTGTTGTTGTTGTTGTTGTTGTCGTCGTCCTCGTCCTCAGCTCCACCGGTCCGTCTTGTCCGCAGCCTGTCGCCTCACTGTCTCGTCTTTATTTGCTTGTGTCCTGTTTGTGGACAGCAGCACCTCCGGGCGCTCAGAGCTTATCAGCGCCCTCTGTTTACTCCTCTATTAATCCCCATTAGTCCTGGGGTGGTGTCGGTGGGAGATGCTGCAGGTGGAGCAGCAGCAGCAGCAGCAGCAGCAGCAGCAGCAGCAGACGACTCGTCCTGAATGATGGACTGTGTGACTTTTTGTTTCCACACAGTAAACAAACAGAGGAGAGATTATCAGGCTAGTTAACAGCCCTGAGTGACAGATCTCAATCTGAGGCAGAGACCGAGAGTCTGCTACAGAGAGAGAGAGAGAGAGAGGGAGAGGGAGAGAGAGAGAAGAGCCGGGCTGATCCAGCTAACTGATAACGACAGCACTTTAGTCACATCAGTCTGTTTGGATCTGCTTTGGTTCTATCTGATCTGATCCCAGATCATCCACTTAAGCCCGAGAGGAAGAAGCTGCGCAGGGAGAGGCTGCAGGTATACAGGCCCTTCGTGGAAGAAACGATGATTTATTTTTGGCGATAAAATCGTTGGGAGCAGCTCCAAGAAAAAACCAAAACAAACAACCAAAACCGTATTTCCTTCATTCAAAAGTGCGGTGTAAAGAGGTGTGGGTGCAGTGAATGTAGGGACAAAGTGTGGCCCCTGCTGTTTGCTCTGGGTCTGTCAGTGTGTGTATATGTGTATATGTGTGTGTGTGTGTGCGTGTAATTATACAAGAACGGATCAGTGGAAACAAGAATTAATTAAGGCGCAGATAAAAACAACAATTGACACTTCCGTGTTTCCTGTCTAGTCATTTTCTCACCACTGCCCTGATCATCTGTCGTCATTAATAATGTTCCTAAACAGAACCAGAACCAGTGAAAACGACCAGAACCCTTGTATTTGGAGCTGGTATATCTGTGGCTCCTGGTATAGTAGATGGAAAAGCCTGTGTTCGTGCGTAATGGCGCAATTAAGACAATTAAGTCTCAGCACCTCAGATAACCAGGACCCCCCCCCACACACACACACACACACTCCCCCCTGCACCGCCCACCCTCCACCTTTCTCACCCTCCCACTACCCCCCTGAAAAACTCACGGGGCAACAAGTAAAAAAAAAAAAAATCGAAAAATCTACACTGAGATTTTTTTAAGCGTTTTTATTTATATACAGACGTGTTTAAACATGATCTATATCGCGATATAAAACCGTTTTTGATATTTTCGATTTTGTAGTCGCAACATTTATCGTGATCCAATATTATACTGTAGTCCTGGTCTTAAATTAACCCTTTATCCAAGTTCCGGTCTACGTCCAGCTCAGTATTAAACCAGACGACATTTTAGTCCGAGTTTTGACTATTTTTTTTTTGAAGTAAAGACTGAAACTTAATGTGTTTTCATTGTGGCCTAATTTTAATCTGTTCAAGTTTGTAATACTCTATATATTTTCCTGGTACTGGTCAGTAATTGAGGTAAGAATTCTTGTTTATTTACAGACAGTAAAAAAAAAATCACATACAATTATTATGTGACATAAACGATGGTAAAATATGAACGACTGCAGGAAAGAGAGAAATTTAAATGTATATTTTCCCATGTTTTATTACAGTAACACGGAGGAGGAAAAAAAACAGTGTTTTCATGACGTCACTATCACTGGGTTCTTCATAGAGAAGGATGACGTCACTATCACTGGGTTCTTCATAATCTTATTTCTCCTGCTTCATATATTCACCGTTCCCTCCTCAACGCGGGGCCACCGCGGGTTTTTACCTGCATGTGTGAACCACAAGGACCGGGCCTTGGAATAACACCCTTAACAACTGGAATAATGGAGCACATGAGGCTTCTCCTCCCTTTTCCCCCAAACTCTCCCGTCCATTTCCCTCCTCATGGTGAAACTTGTAGCAATAATACCCCCTTCTTTCACACAAACGCCTCCCCGCTACCCTCACCTCTGCAGCCCGGCTGCCCCTGCAGGAGCCTCGCTGCTGGGGACCTGGCACAGGCTTTTCTCCGCGAACAAAAAACAAGAGTCGGAACAAAAGTGAACAGGTTTTTTCTGCCTCCACGTCCTCCTTCTCTTCACTGCCTGCCCCTTCAGTGGAAAATGGGAATATTAGGACGTCAATCTCACGGCCCCTGTGCGCCTTTGTCTTTGCTGAGTGGAGCCGGCTCTGCCCACCACGCACCCTTTGTCCCGGACTCCAATGAGAGCCATTATTTGGTCTCTCTTGGCCCGGCTGCAGCCCACTCTTCAGGGGCTATTTTCGATGCTTAATCGCGCCCTTAGAAAGACCTCAGATGGAGAATAACTTCCTCCTTTCACGTCTCCTGGCACTGGGACAAAGAGTTCCTGTGGCCCCGGCCTCCTCCGGGAGGAGAAAATAAAAGCTCGAGATTTGCCTCCGTGGTTCTGCTCCACTCCTCAACATGAGAAACATTACGAGAACACTTACACAGCACATGCATGGAGCAATTTGCGGAAATTAAGGTGATTAAGACGGGATAATATCCTAATAATTATGAAACAATGCTCTGATTTACACGGTTAAGGATGAACCTGCTGAGATTATAATTTTAATTTTCACCCTTTAACACACTTTGGCACAAATGACGTGAGAGAAAAATACAATACAACTATTGTTATTGTTATTACTAAAACAGTTTTTTTTTTATCTGGTTATGACGACATAATGACGCAAATCCTAGTCATTACAGTAGATATAATGACAGTGTTTTTGGTTCATTATTTTAAACAAAAATGTGTTAATATGTACAAAAGATTTTATTTAGATTTAATTATTATGATAGTGTTAGTTAAGGGTAAAAGCTATAATTTTTGACACATTTAAATATCTGAGATTCACGATACGATTACATTAACTGTAAATGTGATTATTTTAAATTCATACGTAAAAAAAAATAATATTATACTAAATTGTACAACTAAAATATTTGTCCAATTTTTTTCAAGAACTCTCATTTTTTATATACAATACAGAAAATAACAATGAGTTGATGTTGTTTTCAGTACATGGGAGTGGAGTGGTGTAGAAATACTCCTTATTTTATATAACCTTAATTTATATCGGTTCAAAAATACGACATAAAAATGTATCATATGAAGACATAACTAAACCACGGTTGTTGTTACTGCTAAAATATGACCAATGTTGAAAACCCGTTCTGTTCCTGAGACCAAACCTTGATGTAACATTAACAACAGCCATTGTCATCAGAGCAGGCTGCTGCAGAAGGGGCTGCAGGGAGGGGACGGGAACTGTTGGTAGCATTTTGTCAACGTGTAGGTCACTATTGTTAACAGACCCAGCTCTCATGACCCACATAACTGAGAATGGATTGGATGTCAGTGGGATTATAGAAACTTCCAGTTGAAATGCCATTAAAATTCAAGGCTGTTTTACAAATAATAATAATAATAATAATAATAATTTATTAGTACATTTCAGTCAACAGAATTAAGTCAAACAAATGGATTAACCGTATTATGTATTGTATTATTGTTAACATTTTACAACCATATCACATTTTTTTCTCCAATAATTCACCACTATCTATATTATTTCAGTTAACATAGTAAAACGTGTATTTCGACCCCCACCTCTGAAATCTTAATATTTGTTAATGTGGTTAATTTTTTTTTTTTTTACAAAATTAGAAAACGCAGCGTCTGTTATTTCTTGTATTTATTTGAATATATTTATATGAAATAGACGCAAACAATTCTCTGTTAAACAACAACAACAAAAATTAAATCGTTTCATACATAATCTAAAAAATATACAAAGTTAAAAGAAACAGTGTTTTATCAATCAAAATCCACATTTGGAGTTCACAGAAGAAGGTTCGATGTCCGCAGTCATCGTGCGGCAACCCGGGACTCCAACAAGAGCACGTCTTTAGCCGGTTCCTCAGCACCGGGAGGAGGCTGCACTTTCAGCCACATTTTTTAATCTGACTCCAAAAAACACGAGCAACACTGTTTTCTGAGTGTAAGAACCAAAGGGTGGCGCTGTTTAAAGGCAGTGTGTTTTTGGTGGAATTGATGAAAGAGCTTCAAGTCTCCGTAAATGCTGGACCCGTTGGGCCGCGGCTGGGTTACCAGGCTCGGATTCCCTGCAGGGAGCCCTGACAGGACGTGACCGCGGTCCCCTGGTGCGCCTGCGCCTGTGCGGAGCCGCCGAGGCCGCTCACGTTCCCCAGGTTCACGTTCATGAAGGCGTTGTTGGTGCTGGAGGGGGGCAGCGCCGGGAGGCTGGTGTACGTGCAGCTGTAGTTGCTGTTGTACGCCGGGCTGTTGTAGGTGTAAGCCGGGTATCCGTTGTAACTGTACGGGTTGGACGTGTAAGGCGCAGCGGCTGCGGCCGCGGCGTAGCTCTGCGCGCCCCCGAGACAGGGCTTCCCGTCTCGGACCAGCACCGGCACGGCGACGCGTCGCGGCGGAGGCGGCGGGTGATGGTGCTGCTGCTGCTGCCCCGCCGCCTCCAGGGACTTGTCCTGCCGCTGCCGTTTGCACTTGTAGCGCCGGTTCTGGAACCAGATCTTGACCTGGTTCGAGGTGAGCTTGAGAGTCGTGGCCAGATGCTCGCGCTCCGGTGCGGACAGGTAGCGCTGCTGCTTGAAGCGTCTCTCCAGCTCGAAGACCTGCGCCTGGGAGAAGAGCACCCTGGGTCTCCGCCGGCTCCTCTGCTTCTGCAGCGGCCTCTCTGAGTCCACCTGGCCGCCCTCTGCTGCGTCTTCCCGGGACACGAGCCCGCAGCTCTCTGGGTGGATTGGAAAAAGTCAGATTTAAGTGTTGAAAGCTTCAACCTCAAATCATGCGTAAAAAAAGAGAAAAGAATAATTCTGCCACTTAATTCTGTCAACACGCCCGCAAATAACACGCGCTTCCTGAATGGGTCGTGTTCTCTGGGCTGTGGGCAACAGACAGATTCACTGTCGACCACTGTCGACCACTGTACCGTCTGTTACTGTCACTGTCAACGCAGGGAAACCACAAGAAAGTTGAATGGAAATAAATAATAATTATCATTACATTTTTAAAATATATGCGTTTTTATGCTGTTAACATTTAAAAAATATATTTTTTTAGTGTTCTAATATAATCTCAACAGAAAAGAAATCCCGACACGTCAGTGGCAGAAAACGTTTTAATTGTAGATCGATTAGTCAACATTATAATCGATACTGGTTTCATAGGAGATTTCTGCTCAAAAAATTAAAATAATGTATTAATTAGAATTCATTTCCAATTTTAGATCAAATTAAATAATCGAGAAAAATCCAAAATAGTCAAAGAGCCAAAAAATGTCTCTGCACAGTTATATACTGTAGTACACACACATACGTCGGTCTCTGCAAAGAGACTCAACATACGTCACACTCCCCTTTAAATTATTAATATCAAACTCCAGTAAACCCTGGAAAATTATAATGATCTATTTTTTGTCACTAAAGTATTTTTTTTCCTCCAAATTAAATCGTTGAATCGACCACGTCCAGTGACGTAACAGCGAACTTTTCCCGGTGAATATTTCAGGCAGCAGAGAAGCTGCAGCGTCAGCTCGGTGTCTGCGCCTGTGTTTATTGGTGCTACTCCGCGGTGTCACTGTTTTTACAGGCCTCTTAAAACTAATAGTCGGTTTATAGTCCACACATCATCACAACAGAGTGAGCGGCTCCACCACTACAAGGTGTTTGACATCCGCAGACTTTACTGGATCCGTCTCCAGCCTCTGATAACGGACTTTTACTGGGGAGGATTAACAGGTTTTAAATTCTGGGCAATTATCTGCAAAACTGTCAAATTCTTCAACTCACGGACATGGGAATAATTTTCACATTTTTAAAATGGTCAATTCTAAATATTAAACAATATCAAACATGGCAGAAATATTTTTTCTAAATTACTTTCCTAAAAGTTAAAATACATACATCCATCAAGTGCATACAGGAAATATTACTTGCAGTACTTAGTTGTACACAGATTGTATTCGCGTTTGTAAATTATTTCTTGAACTTCTGGAGCTCGAAGTCAGAACAGCCGCTCGTGTTTGTATCTAAACTGTTTCGCAGTGATTAATTATGTTCCATTATTCCTTTGTTGCCCTAAAAAAAAAAAAAAAAACTCACTGCTCTCCTGCTCCTCCAGCTCGGCGGCCTCCACCTTGCTGGCTCCCTGCAGGCCCGGGTGGTGCAGATACATGTCCGGGGACAGACGGTCCTCCTCCCGCACCGCCAGCGCGCTCAAATAGGCCAGATTGTCCTCCCCGTCCGAGAAGGACGAGCTGTCCCGGGTCCCTGCAAATATGCAGGACGGCGGGCTCTGGAAATGCTGCTGCTGCTGCGGCTGGAGAGGAGGAGGAGATCCGGCCAAGTGCTGCTGGGTGTGGACCCGGTGCTGGAGCTCCTGCTGCTGCTGCTGCTGCTCCAGTTTAAGGATATCCTTGACAGAAAACGGCGTGGAGGTGAGCGGACTCTGCAGCATCATGTCATCCAGCTCCGGCTCTGCACCATGAAGGAAATGAATCCCGCCGAGTAACATGCACTCCTCTCCGGGTTCTCCCTCTCTGTTATTCTGTTGTTGTTGTTTTTTTTTCTTTTCTAACAGATAATTGGTCTCGGTTCTCCCCTCTTTGAAGCCTGGAGGTTTGTGACGCCTGTGAAAAGCCTCATTGCTGCATGATCAGACCGGGGAGTGTAGGCTTTAGTCCCGGGGTTAGTCCATGCTAGCTCTCCTCTGACAGATGCAGTGGAAGTGGTCTTTGTGCGCGGACCTTGGATCAGCCTGTCTGCCTCCGCTGGTGTCAGGGGGAGGGTGCAGTGTGTGGAATGGAAAGTCCGTGGGCGCCGTGCGTTTGGGAGTTGCGGGGGTAGGTGGGGCGTCCTGTACCAGTGACGCATATGTTCACGTGCTGGTTTTGATTTCTGTCATCTGTTGATATGGTGGGCAGAAGATTTACGGACAGCTGTGGTCAACTTTCTCCACCGAGTCCCGATTGGCCACGTTTTTGGCGTTTTTTTACGCACGCATTTCCCCCCGCAACCTGCCCCACACTACACTCTGTCTGGTGACCTTTTAGTTCAACGTGGACATTTTAATCTTTTGTGCAAAAAAAAAATTATATATATATTGTTTTGAGATTTTCATGAACCGGTTTTTATGCAAAAAACCCGTGCGTAAAATCCTTTGGAGACGCGCGCTGTGACGTGGACCATAGGGTCCTGTACTAGAATGACTCACTCAAGTGGATCATAAAGGATGTCAGCCTTGGCCCTCGCTTCGACCGCTACGTCACTGGTCTAAATGACATGTAATTGGCTTAAAAGTTTTAGAATTATTGCACGTCACCACAAATGTCTGTAAAACACTGCGCCAAAAGTAAACTCTAAATCCAAATACGAACGACCGGCCTGTGATTCCCTGTGAGGGCTGAGTCCACTCCACCAAGGGTCCAGTCCTTACAAGGACATCACGGCCACGGGGCCAGGGTTTAAAGAAACTCCCAAACTTCAGAAACTTCAGTGTTTACTCCGTGGCGGGCATCGATCACCACAACGCAGTAAAACTGGCGCAGGAAGAAGAAAAAGAAAAACCCTCCAGACTTTACCATTTTTGGGTAAAAGAGGAGGAAGAGTTACATTAGAAAGAGTATTAAATGATGTGGTGATCTCCGGGTCGAATGTAAAGGTTTTTTAAGGTCTTTCCACCTCTGTATTCACTTTCACCCCCCCACCCTCACCACCCCGTCCCCTCTTTATCTCGGGTGTTGTATTAATAACCGCACAGGGCAGATAAGCAGGGCCCCCCAGGCCAATTAAAATTCCTCCAGGAAAAACTGAGTGACGTTTTTAGCTCGAGCTAATCTGCTGCTATCACTTCTCCTTTCCGTTTTGCTGCAGGACCTCTGTGTGGCCCTCTGTGTCACCCTGCTCCCTCCCCCCTACCTCACCCGCTGTTCGTTCGTTTCTTCACTGCGCAGGTGAACAGCACTGCTGTGGATGAAGATGATCCGGGATTTTAGTTCCATGATCCAGGACCTGAAGAAGAACTTTATTATGAGGGTCTATGTCAGTACAACACACGATCATGTTTTTTAATTGAAAAGATTCAATCTGGCTCAGCAGCGAGGGGCGCTTCTAAAACCTATAGTGTGGGTTGCGGACATGTGTCCTACAGTACAAGCCTGTTGTTTCTGGGCCACAGAAAACAAAACACGATGTAAACAAGTGGTTCACAAAACGTTTTCGCACTACAGCCCTATGTAGGCCGGAAATAAAATCACAAACTAAGTAGATTTTCCCTGTGAGACATTAACAGAAAATATAAATGATCGTTATATTTAGTCCATTTGTTTTGTCCCCCCCCCCCCCCCGCCCAGCTCTACGTAGCCTACGATGAACTACAGAAAAATGACCAGCCCGTCAATCTTTCAATACTGAAATAATCAAATAACCTACATTTGAGAATAACCGGAAAACTTTGGGTCAGACTCACATTTTATTCCATATACAGTGTTTATGTCTACATTTGTTCCTAAACTTTAGGTTCAGTCCAAGTGGACCGTTGAAGGACATCATAAAGGCCCAGAGCGAAACCGTTAAAGTCGACTTCACTGAGTAACGACGGTGTACGTTTGTTCCACTTGTCTCTTTATGACCATCTTTAAATACTTTAACACAAGACTTTTTTTTTGGCTTTTCCATCCAAACATCCATTTTGGAGACTGAACTACGGAGCCGGAGTCACCGCAACTGTCCCGTGTTCGAGAACCGTCTTTGCCTGTTTTTGTTACGTTTGCCCACCGGATGGCACTGTTGGCACCGCAGCTTCCTTATAAGGAGGAAGTACACAATAATTAGAGGAAGTAGTAATTTTAAGAAAAATAGTCCTGCGTCGTTGTCGCTGCTACACGAATTAGCATGAGAAGCTAATCAAACGCGAAGTGAGTGAGAATTAATTTTTCACTGGTACACAACACAGTGACGATGTTATTGAATATACGTGACATACAAAGGCATTGGTACGAGACCGTTTAAGAAAGACCGCGTTTATTTGAAAAATAATACAATAATTCAAAATGGCTGCCAACTCGTAGTCCATCAAAATAATACTTAGGCTAAAAAACTAAAAACTTGTTCACAAACTGTTTTGAATGTTTGCTACTCAATTAGATACGAGTGTTTTTAAAATGTAAATGTAAATAATTCCAGGATCAAACTAGCCAAAATAACAATTTACGTATTTTTGTCCTGTGTTGACTGTAGACTCTCTGCTGTTGTCGGATTCTGGAAAGTTCTGTTTCTAAAACAGTGTTTTTGTTAAGATCAAAGTCATAAAACCATGTTTACTATTTTGGGTGAAAACAGCGATTTGATGCCGTTTCTCTAAAGAGTTTGGTACAAGTTGCTTGTTCTCTCCACTTATGACTCAGAGTTTCTCTAAAGAGTTTGCTTGTTCTCTCCACTTATGACTCAGCATGTACATTTATAGCCCCCCAGGTTTCTAAAGGTGCAGAAATGTGAAGTAGTCATTGTGTAAAATACTAAAATCTGTTCCCACTGCTTCTCTTCTTATTGTCATTCTCTACCATCATGTAGATATTACTCTTGTTGATTAAAGAGAATGGCCAAAATAAGTGTGTGAAATGCATTCCAAATGTCAAATGTCAGTGAATGCATATTTTCACACAAACTTGAGGGAAACAAACACAGGGCCGCTCACAGACCGGCGCCCCCCTCGTGCCGCGTGCCTCCCGACAGGTAGTAAATATCCAGCTGTGCATCACTATCTATGGAAGCTGAGGGTGGACAGATGTTCGTGTGGTTCTTCCGCCAGCAGACTCCACGGCGACACTCTCCAATTCGTGCTACATCATCATCAGCGCATCCTCGTAAAAAAAGTGCCAAACAAGGCGGCCCAGTGTTTAGACTGGCACATGTCCGCCTCCATTTACTTTAAATAAGCATTAAATCCAATGACGCCAGGCTAAACGCTGTGTTTTTGTGTGTGTCACACAGGGGAACGGCTCTGCAGCAGATGGAGGAAAGAGAGCATCGAAGATGTGTGAGTGCAACTTGAGTGAAAATACAAAATGTGTTGTTAAAAAGTTGGTGATTATTCTGAGGCGTAGATTCTGTCCTGAAAGGGATGAGGCCCCAGGAATTTTCCTCACTGTAATATAACAAATATTATTGATATGATATTCCCTCACATTCCCAGTGAGCCACTATAGGAGTGAATGGACGGTGAGTCATTTCTGGATTTTCACCTTTAACCTTTATTTAATGGTTGTAGTTCTTATGGGTGGAAATATTGACCTTGGGCGGCAGCGAAGAAACACGGTGACGCCGTGTCCTGCTGACACCGGGCTAGTCGCCCGAAGTCGGACTGACAAATGAGTCACCTTTTTGTCAATCACCTGATAGCTGGAAATTAATCACGATTAATCACGATTATTCATGACTAATCATTATGATTAATTGAGATAAATCAACATTTCATAATGAAATCAGCATTCTTTAATTTTTTATTTATAATAATCTTTCAATTTGGAATTATTAATAAGAAAACATGGTGATAAAATATGAAAAAGTATGAGTCCAAAGTTTTCTTGATATAGTTGGTGGATATTAGTCGTTTTAGTCACACTGTAGTGTTGATTTCAAACCTTCCTTGAAACCATTGTCCCTAGTGTTAATCAGTCCCATGAGATGATATTTAAACCACAGGAGGCTTTGGTGAAAAGAAAAATCTTTTCCACATTGTGTGCTAATTTCAATCTGACTAATTTCACAATTAATAATGTGATAAATGTGTATTTTTATGTATGAGCGGAGTTCATTGAGCAGAATGTTGTTGTCTGAATTCAGTTGCGCGTTGATGGATTTTCTTTCTTGTGTGTCCCTCCTGGTTCCTTCCTGCCTCCAAACTTCCCTGGGTGTTGAAAATGAAACGTGTTTCACTTAAAGAGTCAGATGTTTATCTGTGGCTGTAGAGATTTTTTGTGCTTGCGTCTGCCTCAGGGATCCTCAGTCGTAGCGCTGACAAGTGTGTGAGATCATGTGGTCATGTTTGATGCTGTGCAGGAAGAAAGCTCATGGAGCTCCATGAGGGTTTCTCTGTTGTTGCTGAGACTGTGGACACAGATAAATGGCCACCAGGAGGAAGGAGGAGGTTGTTCGGTCTGTAGGAGCAGACTGGTGCTGACAGAGGTGAAAGGAAGACTCTGACCTCTGCAGCTTCTGTTTGGCCTCTTTATCTGTCACACAAACACAGATAAGCCTGTAAACATCAGAACCTGGAAAATGAAACACAGGTTCAGAATGGCTGCAGCGGTTATGCTGTTACAGTGGTCAGTGTTACAGATGTTACTGCTGACGTAACACTGCAGTCAACTGCTTCACCTCTTCATGTTTGTTATAGTGATGACTAATTATAGATTTAAGAATTCAGATGGGCCTTTAGTCAACGGTGTATCCATAATTAAATAAGCACACAAATATACTATACAATATAGATATTAATGATGTTTTATTTTACAAAATAATAGAAACAACATTATTATTTTATTTTTAATTAATTTAATTTCTATTATTATTTCACGACTGAAACAAGTCCATACGTCACAACCTCCACTATAACAGTCGACATAACGAAATAGATTCAGATTTGTTTTGTTTCTCCAGCGACTACAATAATTACTTATCTTTATATGATGGTCATTATGATGTACTGACGGAATGTGTGTGTGTTTGTGTGTGTGTGTCCAGATGATGGAGGAGGTAACAATAGGAAACGTTACACCTCTGTCTGCTGTCATTTGCGGCCCATCGGAGGCGCCAGGAGTATTTAGATGGATGGATGGAGAGATAGAGAGAGGGAGGGAGGGAGGGAGGGTGGGGGGACAGGGGGAGAGAGAGAGGACTAATCTTCTATGTATTAAACATGACATTTTATATATATATATTTTAAATAGAGGCGATGTTTGTAGCCCTAATTGAAACCGTCAAAAAATGTAAATCCGCTTCATTG